ACAGAGCATTTATCATTTTGGGCTTTTGCTTCAGCAATTGCCAAAACTGCATCAAAATTAAACAAATAAACACATAATATTATATATCAATAAAACAAGAATTACAAGTAATCTCCTTTTAGATCTTGAATCATACATCACAAGTGTAAGTAATTTTTACGTTATCAAATAATTCAAAGGATATCTACAGATAAACTTCTTTAAAATTTAGATTTGTAATCTTGAAAATAAGATAGATTGTCTGTTGCAGTTAGAAGAGGCAAAACCATTACTTTAGCTTTTAATTCGACAAAACTCAATGGTTTTGACAAGCAAAAAGATTACGCTTCAAAACCAATAAATTAAATTTTTTGGCTCTGCCTCTAGCTATAACATGTAAAGGTGGCTTAGTTGTGTAATTTTTTTTATAGTTACGTCGTATATAACTTAAGCTCTTTCTTTTATCACAAACAAGACAATAAATAAAGATTAATTAAAGAAGAAATGGGCAAACCTGAGAGAATGAGAATGAAGCAAAGAATTGAGTTTAAAAACTTAGCCATTCTTATTGAAGTATTGATCTCAAATATTTGTAGTGTATTTTGATGTAAGGTGAAAGAGGCTATTTATAATGCAAAATTCTTAATTTTTTTGGAAAGTAGTGTTTAAAATTTTAATATGGTAACATTTTTTAAAAGAATCTAAATGTTACTTTCCAAATTGTTATATAGTTTATTATTTATTTATTTAATTTTGGTTAGATATAATTTCCTTTCCATAGAGCAAAATATGACTTGTTTCCTTCTTGAAAAAAAAAGTTATATAAAGTAGTTTAATGGAATTGATTCTGATGACACATAGAAGCTTGGATTATTGTTATATCTTGATTCTTGGTATAATAACACTTTTGACTTTTAAGTTAATGATGAATTTAAATTTTAACATTTGAGCAACAAAATAATTTAATAGTTAATAATTCATTAAAGTTTTAAAAATTCATCAACATAAAAATTAAATGTAATGTACACATTACAATTAATTGAAGATTACATATATTAATCATATATTAGAAGGACCAAAACATAGATGCCTTGTTTCCTTGTTAGAAAGTTATAGAAAGTTGTTTAAAGAATTAATGTTGATGACATTTTAGAAGAAACAAAGTGTTATTTCTTATATTATTACATTATTGCAAAGATAATTGTTTATAATATACTTTCCATAGTGAAAAGATTGATTGTTTCCTTTTTGAAAAGTTATGGAATGTAGTTTTAAAATTGATTGAATTAGATTTTTAGAAAAATAGAAAGTGTGATCTAATATTGTATTTCAGAAATCTATGGTTTATAACATAAAATAAGAAGATCTAAAGCTATATTTCGACTTTGATCAAAGTATATATCATATGTACGAATAAAAACGGTTTATATCATATCTCGTTGTTAGTTTAATAAATCAAATATTTATGTAAGAAAACAATCCACAAAATAATCAAGTTACTATTTAGTCTAGATATTCTAGCTCCAAATTATGCTCCTGGCATAATCTTAGTATTACTTGGTATAATTATTTTAATCTAAAATTATTAAGTTGGTTAATTTAAATGTATATTGCATAGAATTCATAAAGAGGAAAATGTTTTTTACAATGAGCTTGTCAGTTCTCAAAATTCAAACTCGAGATCTTTATAAGAATGAAAGAATGTCATCAATTTCAATTACATACCTTTTGTTAATAGGAAAGTTTAGTTTATATATTGTAATTTTGAATTGTTATGTTTGACACATCGACCATCAAGTTATGTTGTCAATAATAATATAATGCCGTTTTAAAGTTGGGATAACTATCTAATTATTTCTTCTTTCAATTTCCACAATAATTTCAGTCAGTGATAAAATATTCATCTATCCTTAATCGGAGGTTTTAGATTCAAACTTTAAAAATGAAATCATCTTCAATCTTTAAAGTGGAACTTTCTAAACCAAACCTAAATCAGTCAGCATCAAAATCGAAATCAAACACTAGATAAAAAACCTAAAAAAACAGCAATCGACAAAAACAAAATAAACAAGATGATATTACAATAAAATAGCCGATTAAAAGTTGTATAAAATGATAGAAACATCTTTTAGAATAGATAATACTAGTATTCATTGATATAATAACCATTCATATTTTTATTTCATAAATAGACCAATATTTTGTGTTTAATCGAAGGAACATTAGTTGGAGCTACAATTGAAAACACAAACACAATTCATTGGGCCAGTGACTCCACCAGTGCAAAGCCCATTTCCATTGTATTTCTCTAAACATTGTTTTTGACAATCAACAAGTACACATCCTGTTGGATCCAATATTGCAGTGCATCTCTTTTGACAATCAACAAGTACACATCCTGTTGGATCCAATATTGCAGTGCATCTCTTTTGGGCCTTTACTTCAGTAATTGCCAAAACTGTACCAAAATTAAACAAATAACACTTATATATCAATAAAACAAGAATTATAATAATTCTCTTTTAGATCTTGAATCATACATCGTCAGTGTAAATAATTTTTACGTTATCAACTAATTCAAAGGATATCTATAGATAAACTTCTTTAAAATTTGGATCTGTAATCTTGAAAATAAGACAGATTATTACATTAGAAGAATAGAAAGAGATGTTAAAAAGAACGACCATGGAGACTTGGGGATCTAGAGGCGGAAAAGACTTTATGAATGGAGTAAAAGAACTTGGGATCGCCGATCTCTTCCTTAAAGATTGGGATGAGTCGATATCGGTCGATGGTGTGAAAACACTTCCTGATGTCGAATTCCAAAAACCTGCGGAAAGAAGGAGTAACTGCGAAAAAGCTCAAGTGATTTTCCCTTGACTATTGTCAAGCCAGAGAAGATAACTGCATACCCTAGGGAATACAACTCCATATGAACATGGTGTATAGGAGAAATATGAGGCCCAAATTGAGAAGTGTTGCACCCCTTGAAATGAGTGCATGTACTTCTGCTACAGTCAGAAGCGGAGCTACCACTTTAGCTTCTGATTCGACAAAACTCAATAGTTTTGACAGTCAAAACTCAAAAAGATTACGCTTCAAAACCCATAAATTAAAAAAAATTGGCTTTCCCTCTGGCTAGAACATGTAAAGGTGGCTTAGTTGTGTAATTTTTTTTTACAATTACGATGTATATAACTTAAGCTCTTTCTTTTATCACAAATAAGATAGTAAATAAGGAATTAAAAAAAGAAAGAAATGAGCAAACCTGAGAGAATAAGAAAGAAGCAAAGAATTGAGTTTAAAAACTTAGCCATTCTTATTGAATATTTGAAGTTGATCTCAAATGTTTGTAGTGCACTTTGTTGTAAGGTGAAAGAGGCTATTTATAATGCAAATTTCTTAATTTTTTTTGGAAAGTAGTGTATAAAATTTAATATGGTGAAATTTCTAAAAGAATCAAAATGTTACTATCTATATTGTTATATGATTTAAAATTTATGTATTTAATTTTTTGTTAGATATAATTTATTTTCCATAGAGCAAAATTTGGCTTGTTTCCTTCTTGGATTATTGTTATATATCTTGATTCTTGAGATAATAAACACTTTTGACTTTTAAGTTAATGATAAATTTTAATTTTAACATATGAGGAATAAAATAATTTAATAGTTAGTAATTCATTAAAGTTTTAAAAATTCACAAGCATAAAGACCAAACGTAACATACACAATATAATTAATTGAAGATTACATATACTAGTCATATATCACATGAACCAAAATTAGAATTTACTTACAATTGGGGACCAAAATATTATTATAATCTCTTATATCTTCTATAATATATACTCCCTCCGTCCCATTTTATATGAGGTACTTTGACTCGGCACGGAGTTTAAGAAAGAAATGAAGATTTTTAAAATTTGTGGTCCAAAATGAATGATAGAAATTTGTGTGGCTGTAAATCATTTCATTAAAGGTAAAATAGATATTTTATAGTTAGATTGTTACTTTATATAAAAATGTGTCATTCTTTTTGGGACTGACTAAAAAGGAAAGTGAGTCATATAAATTGGGACAGAGGGAGTAATATGTTTTCCATAGAGGAGATCTAGATGACTTGTTTCCTTTTTAAAAAGTTAAGGCAAACAATTTTTAAAAAATAATATGGTGACATTTTAGAAGAATTATTCTCCATATTGTATTTTATACAGAAAGTGGTTAAATAGAGTATTTTCATGCGATTTTCTCGTTAAACAGAAAGGGAAAAAAATTATTTGCTCAAAAATTTCATCAATTTTTTTGGGACAGAAGAAAGAAAAAAAAGAAGAATAACAAGAAAGAAAGAGAAATGGCTGAAATTATTCTACCATGAAATCTCTTCTTTCTTCTTTGTTGTGATTTCTTCTTCCAGATTCATTCATTTCCTAATTTTAAAAATAAATAAAATTGGTACGTAATATTAATTTCTTCGATTCATCGATTCTTTTCATAATGTTCATGAAATCGAAAAATGAAATATGTTGAAAATTATTGGAAGATCATATTTGAATTGTTTAATATCATAGTAGTGATTTTTCCATTTCATGTTTATTTGGTATGATGAATGTCATTTTCTGGTGTTTGGTTGACGGAGCATAACTATCTAGACTTTTAAACATCTTATAATTAACTAATACTCGAACATTATATTATTATTTCATAAAAAAAAACACTTCCAATTTGGGAATATTATATATGTTAAATTTCATTTACCAATCAAACATCAGAAAATATTTTTGAGGTGCATTTTTTCTATGGTATGATTTCCGTGATATATACTAGACATTCCTGTTCATATATTTAAATATTGAATTAATCTGTGATATGTCTTGATGTTTTTTTTTTTGGAATTTATTTATTTTTTCTAATAATTGTTTTTTTTTTTAATTTTCCTAGGAATACTGATAATGCAGCATGTAAATTTCTCCTGGGAGGCATTGGATTAATTTTTTTTTAAAAGGAATATTTGCAGCTTTGATTGAATAAAAATGTCTTGCTGTGGAGGTGGAGAAGAAGACGTTTATAGCGGCGGTCCGCCGTCCAATCAGAACACAGCTCCTCCTAGAGCTGGCAATCCATATGGTGGTGGTACTGGTGGTGGTAATGATCATATTATTTTATCTTTTTCGGTTTTTTAACCCGATGTAATTTTCATTTGTATGTTCTGTATCGACCTCTAGATGGATTGACCCTTAGGTACGAAACTATGTTGATTGAAGGTGTTAAAAGGGGACGATGATGTATACTCTTGGACACAATTATTAGATACATAGAATCTATATAGGCCATACCAATTAGTTAGGAATATGTTTCAGATAGTTACTCAACTAATAGTTGTTTATCTCATAAAGTCTGTGTGACTTTTTTGAAATGTGATAGAACTAAGATGAAGTTTTCTTTAAAGACCTGCAATATCTTGGAATCCGTGTAGATCTAGCGAAAAATAGGGTACAATAGGAAAAAAAAGATCGATATAGATGACACAACTTAGTTGAGAATATGTTTGTTCTATGTTCTAGGAGTCATTTAATCCTATCAAAGATTTATATGCCGATAAAAGAAAATAGAGAAGTTTATAAACATGATCAACGAAGATTCATATAGCAGATGACGACTTGTTTGTATTGTAGCAAGTGATAGAGGAGAGCCAAGGAGTGCTGCAAGAGGTGGAACTCCTCAGAAAGTATTACCAATTGAAGCACCAGTTTTCACCTTGGATGAACTAAACAGATTGACAGGAAATTTTGGTCAGAAAGCTTTGGTTGGAGAGGGATCTTATGGCCGCGTTTTTTGCGCTAAATTAAGCAATGGACAGCAAGTAGCAATCAAGAAGTTGGATACTAGTGCTTCACCAGAACCAGATTCTGATTTTGCAGCTCAGGTTAATGAATCAATGCCCCTTTTTTTCCTTTTTAGTATGATGAAAAGTACACTTATACTTGAAATGTTTCAACTTATTTCAGTTATCAATGGTTTCAAGGCTTAAAAATGAGCATTTCATGACTCTGATTGGCTATTGTCTCGAAGGGAACAATCGTATATTGGTATATGAGTTCGCGACAATGGGATCTTTACATGATGTTTTACATGGTATGTCAAAGGTTCTGTCATAATACTGATAGTTGTTGCGCAAATCCTTCTGTTTGTTGTAGTGTTTAGTTGATTTTGGACCCCCGACTTATTTGGAACTGAGGTGTAGTTGTTCTATTGTTGCAGGTAGAAAAGGTGTACAAGGTGCTGAGCCAGGTCCAGTTCTTACCTGGAATCAAAGAGTTAAAATTGCTTATGGTGCAGCAAAAGGCCTCGAGTATCTACACGAAAAGATTCAGCCACCTGTAGTTCATCGCGATGTTAGATCAAGCAATGCATTGCTGTTTGATGATTTTACAGCCAAAGTTGCTGATTTCAACATCTCGAACCAGTCTTCTGACACTGCTGCGCGTCTACATTCCACTAGAGTTTTGGGGACTTTTGGCTACCATGCACCAGAGTAAGCCCTGCTTATAACAGCAGAACATGTAGTTTCTCTAGATAGCCTATTGCTTTACGCAGTTTTCACAAAACAACAATAAAACAGAAACGATCAAGATCACACAGTAGCTTCAAGCTGTTCTATTTGCACCACAAATCGGACAAAGCAATCCTGTTATGTTAAGAGAAACAACGAATAACGTTGGTGCATCAAGTAATTAGACAAGTTTCCGAAATGGCTGGTTTATTTTATGTTAAACAAAGGTATCGCATTTTTGTGTAGGTATGCAATGACAGGACAGATTACTCAGAAAAGTGACGTTTATAGTTTTGGCGTTGTGCTCTTAGAACTGTTGACAGGAAGGAAGCCAGTAGATCATACAATGCCTAAAGGGCAACAGAGTCTTGTCACTTGGGTAGCTTCTTTTCCTATACCTCTTTCTTTTCTAGTGTTAATAATTCCACCAATCCGCCTATGTGAGCTTGCTCACATTGTCGGTCCCAAGTAAGGAGGATTGAGGTATGCTGACAGCCAACGTAAAACTTGTCAATTCATGATGAATCCTCACAGTAAAAATATTGTTATTGTATAATGATCCAGACAAACGATCCAAACTTATTTGGGACTGAGATGTAGTAGTTGTATATCACCACTCACCAGTCTGCTGATTCGTACTCGAAATTCTCTTCAGGCAACTCCAAGATTGAGTGAAGACAAAGTGAAGCAATGTGTTGATCCTAAGCTAAATAATGACTATCCTCCGAAAGCAATTGCTAAGGTACTTTACTCGAAACAATTCTTCTACTTTTGTGAATCTTGCCTATTTTTATATAATGTTTGGGACTGAGGCGTAGTTGTTGTTGTAATATTTTCTCAGTTGGCAGCTGTTGCAGCACTTTGTGTTCAATACGAGGCCGATTTTCGACCTAATATGACAATTGTTGTCAAAGCACTGCAACCACTTCTCAACTCAAAACCAGCAGGACCAGAGTCTCAAGCATAGTAAATTTCTGGTTTTGAGACCAGCAGGAGCTGATAGCGTTGATGATACGGCAAAAACTTACTCACACTCGATGTATACATAAGAAAATATTTCTCATGATAAAATGAGGTAAAATACGTGTTGATTAACCATGGTTAAGTGAATAACGCGTATGTTGAAGACATATGTTATGTATTGGTTCGATTGTTGTAAACACCGAGTGTAGATAAGTTTGTCTTTTCCCCTTTCTGATCCAATATGTATTTTTTTCACAATTAGAATGCTTGAAAGAACTTTTGAAAAAAATTCTCATAGCTAGGTTAGTAGTGATATGTTGTTACTGGATATAAATACCAGTCTTTATACTTTTTGGGAGTTTTGTATAAATATAAATATGTAAGTTTCTGATTGAACAAGAACTGTCTCAAGCCACCATTGAAGGCATATATAAATATTTTTATATATATTAGCAAAGGACGTTGAAGAGAACTTATTATTTAATTTATATACATTTACACCCAGTTATTTTTTGCAGTTCAGATAAGATGTGGATTGGATCGGATCTCTGAAAGCATGATTCTTGCCTCCCTACCCCGTTTAAGCTCGTCCATTCGTTGGGTGATACCTTGCTCTCACGTTTGAGTATTTATTCGTTGTTTAGCCTCGGGATCAGTACATTTCAACTTGTTATCGAAGTCATTTACTCTTTTATTTTTTTATATTACCAATAAGCGTACTTATTATAGGGAGTAACCTATTGTTGTAGACCCTTTTTGACATGATCCTCGTATAAAAATAATTATAAATTTGTCATATGCAAAGAACTTCAACTCACTTAATATTCAATATCCTACCCGACGTCCAGATACACACATTAGAGCCCAACTAATCCAAATTTGCACCGAAAGTCCCACGTTAAGGGTAAAACGCTCCCTAACAAAGGCAATTCTATACCCAACGGGACTCAAACCCGAGACCTCTTGGTTAAGGGTGAAGAAGTACTGTTAGGGACTCTACTCTATACCCAAGGGGACTCAAACCCGAGACCTCCTAATTAAGGGTGAAGGAGTACTTTTTTCATTTCTTGATGATGTGCAAACATTCTTTGTTTGTATAACTCATAATTTGAACGACAATCAAGAGGTGTGGAAGGATGAATAGTCCCCACAAACCAAAAGTTTTGGGTTGGAACTGTGGGAACGAGTGGTTCCCCCTTTATACAGACCATCAACACAACCCAAACTAGTCGAGTCGGTGAGCTGAAATACCAAATGGCTAGACCCAAACAAGAAAATTCTTGGGTCTGTGTGGCCCGGTGACTTAATTCAGTGCCGATAAAAGTAAAAACATACAGCTAATTGTAGCTGCTAGGGAAATGTTGAAACAGCCTGTGAAGAAAAAGTGCAAGGTAGACAAGGGAGGAGATGTTTCTTAAAAAACTATCATAATTTTTCTATGAGATCAAATGTAGCATGATACAAAGAAGCTCAACACAACAGCTATACCACCATAGGATACCGAGAAAAAGGAGGAAAATAAAAAAAGAACAACGCGCCTCCATCTACTATTCTTACAATAACTTATCTTTCATCCTTGTAATTGTTTCTGCTTCTATTTTTGAACTCATCCTTTGCAGTGAGACCTGTGGCAAATGGATATAAATAATTATTGCACCTAAACATTTTCATGAAGAATAATGAAAGCCTGAACAGACGTACAAGCTTTTAAGGACAGTCGCTATGTAATGCTAAAATGCATAATGAAGTTGATCAAGTTTGAACATGAATACCATACTAACAATAGAATCAATCAATAGCATGCTGCTTGTTAACATATTCAACAAATCATTTTCGCATCAGTTGATGGCAAAACATTATAGACACCTTACTATTTCCAAATAACTTGTTGATTTTGTTAGTCCTAAACATTATAAAATCATCGGATCATTAAAAGTTGTAGTCAAACTAGAAATCAGATCATTTTTCACCTTTATGTTTCCTAAATTGGGCACCCACACAACCCCTTCTTACCCTCCCCCACTCACCAAAGGACGAATCACATTAAAGACATGATCAGATAATGAGGAAGGAGTACACACCCATCATCAGCGTCTAGTTCTCGGCTTGCACCGGAACTCAGCTAAGAGTGCTATATGATCAGAGGACCACTCTGGAGAGGGAAGTGCTGTGTCTTTTCTCAAGCTTTCTTCATCCAAGAGCTCCAATAAAGATTCAACAGTTAATGAATCAGCTGAAAAAACAACCATCACATATATCAGCCTTCATGACACATTCAAGGACATGCATATACTGCACCATCAAACTATGGACTGTAGAACAACAAAGGAAAACACTGAGGTGACAAATATATTGTCAATCTAATCGGAGAGAATATTTTACTATACCTGAGTAGAATATATAATCATGAGTGCCAATAAAATCTCTCGTGCAGTTGGTAAACAAGGGCTCATTGGTATTAGGATCCATCCTCCTCCTTTGCTGCTCTAGTCCAAGTCCCACCCCCATTCTGGCAAAGGATGAATAAGCACTAACCTACAGAAATGGATGCCACAACAAAAGAAATGCTTTAAATATATCTTGCAGATCTTATTTAACTTCTTCACTAGGATGTATAATACAAAATTTCTAAGGTCCAACTTCACCCTTAGGAATAGAAGAGGTTCAGGAGGAATCATATTTAAGGGTGTATTAGGTATGAAGGAAAATGTCTTCTTGGAAAATAAGTGGGTTTCTTACTTGTTTTCTTGTATTAGGTATGTAAGCAAAATATATTATCCTAAAAGCATTTGTATATAATCTAGATACAAAGGGAGGTGGGGTCAGGGTGG